ACTATGACAGGAAAGGAAGAAATTTACAATGAAAATTATTCAGTTGTCTAACTACTTGAAAAGAACGCTTATGCATTCCAACATATATCAATTTAGGCAGAATCGTATACAAGAAATTGACTAATAAACATCCCATTGATACTGGATCCCAGGAAATCTTAAAGTTTTAATTAGTAATGTAGTGAAATGACATAAATTATTCCCCCAAACTCATCTGCACCTCCCTTGTGTTACCTTCTCCTCATTCTCAGCAGAAACCAAGTGGGCTTGATGTTACAACACATAATTCAGCTACACAGACAAAATCAAATACACAAAAGATGGGGGGGGGAGGAATGACCACATGGGACGGGAAGTAAGAGAGGAGGTGATTTCCAAATAACAGCTTTCAAATTCCCTCATATACCTAAGTTAAATATCAAAACTTGCCAAGAATGTGGACCAGATATTCAGGCACTTGCCTGTTAAATATGCACACAATGAATCTTGGACACACAATGAATCCTACTAGCTGAACCTTCCAGCTGATCACAAATACTGGAGATGTTCTAAAAATGGAGGGATCCTAATTCAGATTCTATGGACCTATTCAGTTACAATTCCTTTCTGGCAGGAAGTCATAAAACATACCATGACATGCTGTGAAGTCTTTGCATCCGCTTTGTATTTCCCAAAATACAAACAATAAATCAATAGGCACAAAGGGTTTGTGCTATACCCACAGATCTGTTTTGTATTAGATACTGCAGTGGGTTTTTCTGCTTCTGATGTATTGCTGGGATATTTATCTGTGAAACAGCACATTGGAAAGGGATACAGACTTCTGGATGTTACAGCTATAGAGGCTAAATATATTGCCATACCAGGGCTTACTGATTCCAAAAGAATCTACAAGACTATCCACCTCAGAAGGCGAGTGTGGCATCCACTAGATTAATGTGCTTGTAAGATATCCTGAGCCATTACAAGTTGTGTTGAGAGGAGAGGGAATCTACCAGCTGCAGTTTCTCTCTTCACTAAAGGTTTATGTTGAGAGAAGTCTCACTTCTATAATCCCATCCTTAAAGATACAGGAATCGTACCAGGCGTCATACTTGCAAGTGAATAAATAGTTGAATATGTACCAGGGACCCTGTAGGAGTAGATACTCTACATCATCATGGGTTTGGATCTGAGATCCTTTCCCTCTCTATTAAACTGAATATGCATTTGTAAAAGCATATCTAAGACTTTCTAGCCAATTGAGAATCATATGAAACTAATACCAACCTATTTACTTGAACAATCAGTCGCTGTGACATCCACAACTTACAGCTGAAGATATTAAAAACTAAGGAGGCACACAGGTCAAAAAAAGTACAATATAGGACATCAGTGGTGAATGTCTTAGTGATGCATTGGAAGCTTACTGTTACTGATGATGGAAATAAAAGCAGGATGTTTGTGCATATAAGAAAATGAAAATGTAACTCTAAATATTTAGAAGGAAGTCTCAGTGAGTTCAAGTAAGGGTGCCTATGATTGCAGCCTTGTGGTGGGGGGAGGACCCTGATAATCTACATTCAGTGAGTTGATGTCCTTGATGGAATGTATAGAATTGTGTAAATACATGTCCATGAATATGTAGAGAATACTGAGCATTGCATTCTATATGTCCATTATATGTGGCCCTGAGAACAAGATTCCTTCTGGGGCTTTGTAATAAATATACTTAATATGAACACTTAAATTGGTACTTTTCAAATGATCTGGCGTTCAACTGAACAAATATACTATGTAAGAGACAGCCTTATTTAGGGTGGCTGCCCAAAAGGAAAGGGACAGATGCATCCTCATTATTATTTTGTCCTAACAAAGAAAATCATCTGATAGAGATATATGGTGGTAGGTTTGTGAGGTGATTTAACCTGATCTGATATAGGTAAAGGTAAAGGTTCCCCTTAACATTTAGTCCAGTCATGTCCAACTCTAGTGCCCGGTGCTCATCCCCATTTCCAAGCCATAGATCCAGCGTTTGTCCAAAGACAGCTTCCGTGGTCATGTGGCCATCGCAACTAGACACAGAATGCCATTACCTTCCCACCAAGGTGGTACCTATTTATCTACTCGCATTTTTACATGATTTCAAACTGCTAGGTTGGCAGGAGCTAGGACAAGCAACGGGAGCTCACTCCGTCGCGTGGATTTGATCTTAGAACTGCTGGTCTTCTGACCCTGCAGCACAGAGGCTTCTGCATTTTAACCCACAGCGCCACCACATCCCTTGGTTTCTGATACACTTGGTGCTAACTAGCTGTTGACTAAATTAAGATTTCTCTAGTATATGAAAAAATTAGTACTACTGTATAAAGTTTAAAACAGACAAGCAGTATTGAGTTGAACCATTTCCTCATTTTTCCATTGGCTTAGAATTTTGTGCTAAGAATTTTGTTCACAGGATCACAAGTGTAGAAGCTCTGTACAAGCAAAGTACCATTTAGGTTGCAGTACACTAACACTTAACATGCACAACCTCAGCACAAGGTAATTATCTTCTTATTTTTCTTCTGATTTCCAAATAGAGATGAAAAGGATTTTGGTAATGTTTTATATTTTTTCCAAAATTAGCCATTTCGCACTTCCCAAGACTCATTAGGAAATGTGCACCTTGACCAGCAACGCACATTGGTGAAGTATTGAAGCATATTTCACATGTGCAAAATGATGCAAAGATTTAAAAAATCCAAAAAAGTAATATGTATGCAACCAAAGTTTACACATAAACACACTTTAATTAAATGGGGAAATGTGCACACAAATGCATATATAGGGACAGTGTATAAACAAATGTGTACATTATGGAAAAATATATGGAAAAATATACAAATGTTATATGGAAAGAAAAATACCAAGTCCCACAAACTGATATGAACAAAGGGTGGGATGGGAATCCAGGTAGGCTTCAGATAAACCAAAAACAAAAGGATACTGAAGTCCTAGATCAGTGTTCAATAAAAGGATTTACAAAAATCCATGAGGGCGCATACTAGCCTTGCTCCTTCCCTCCATCATATCTCTCTATGTATAAAGATGTAAATCTGAAAAGGACTGGTCTGTATTCAAGGGGGTGCTGCAGATGATCAGAAAACCAGAAAAATGGAGTTCCCAATTCCACAGAGAAAGTGATTACTCTGAAGGACCAATCTTCTTCAAATTACCTCTCCATCTGTGGCAGCTAAGATGGAGGAGGTGGGACTAGTCTGCTTTTTCTGCTCACAAGTTAAAATTAACTCTTTTGTTGAATGCCTGAATAGGGCATGAGAGTTTTTAACATCCCTTTTCTGAAATCAGGCTCTAATGTAGTGAGAGAAGGCCATCCTACCACACCAGGTATTAAAGAAGAAGAAAAAGGTATCTTCTTATCCAGTGTAACAATTATTGCCATGAACAAAATGCGACTAGTTTATTACCAAAGGCGAAGACAGCTATTGGATGCAGATCAGATAGTAATCCTGTTACCTTCACACAATGTACAAAAGAGGGGGAAAATATAATTAGCTGCTCACTGGCTGCAATCCTGTTGCTTGGCATACTTAGCAATAACTAAAGAAGGCCCACTGAATCAACAGAACCAATGGAGAAGTTAATTCACCTAATGCCTCTGATTCAGTGGGTGTCCTCTAGTTGTCCTACACTGTGCAACAGGATTTCAGCTACTGTGTTTGTGTAGCACAAATGAGAACAGTGTGCCTAGTTGCCAAAATCTTTTCAATACCTAATTTCTAATGACACAGGAGTGTATTATTAATTTTTAAAGCATCTGTCCTGAAAATATAATACGCTGCAAATCAATATCCAGTTATCAAGACTGCAAACTAAACACACTTCTTACAGCAACAATGGGAATTGTGCAGCCTGTGGTCCACAGGTAGCTCCCTAAGGCCCAACTTATATTTATGATAGATCCTCAGACTCTGCCCCTAATAAAAAGTTTCCAAGACACATGATGCACCATTTGTTCCCTCCCCACCCCTGATATTTAAGCCAGAAAAGGCCATATTTTAAAACGAGAAATGAACGTTTGAAAGGGTAATCCACAGAGGTCTGATGTGTATGTAAAAATGTAGCATGCACTGTATACTGAAATACTGGGGAATAATTCTCATTAAGCAGTGGGAAGGGGTGGAATTACTATCCCTGCTTTATCTTTTTTAATATTATTCTGTGTAACTTCTGAGTTAATATCTTTTACAGTATCAACAATTAGTCTCTTATCCAGTCACTTCTCTACCTAGATCGCTTTCCACTTAGGCTATACAATAATTGGTCCATCGGTAAGGCTAAAACTTCATATAATAAATCCACTACATGTCTAATAATGGTTTTTTGCTGTTTGGGGTGTTCTTTTGCCCAGGCCTCAGTTTTGCAAGTCTAGTATGCATCTGTGAAATGGAGATAGCATTTTCTATACAGGTTAATTATTTTGATCATTTCGGATCTGATAAATGTCCATTTCAATGCCACAATTTCAATAATAAAAAGGTGTACTTATGAGAATGCTCTCCTATAAGGGCAGAACTGTTACTTTAAGGCAGAACTGTTAGATGCATCATACTGATTTGTCAGGTTTATAAAACCTTAGCTAACATAGAACAGTGCTTCACAATCTGGGGGTTACAACCTCCAAGGGGGGTAACAAAGTGTTTGTGAAGGGTCGCAGGTTGCCTTATATGTCTTGTAGCCTTTGCTAAATAACTTCTTCCTTGATCTCTATGAGTGGGATATTAAAGTTAGTGTGTATGTATGAGAAACAGAGGGGAGAAAGGAGCCTCTGCTTTCTGACAAGGGCAGCTTTTGCCCCATTTAAAAAGCCTTTTTATGCAAACATTGGGGAGGGGGTCCTTAGGTTACTTGGCTATTATAAAATGGGGTCATGACCCAAAAAAGGTTGGAAACCACTGACCTAGAGGTATAAAAAAAATCTAAAGCACATGACGAAAAAAACTTGTGTGCCAACTTACCTAACAAAAGTTTGTTTTTATCTCTACAATCTGGTGTGTTCCACGGATTGGTACAGGAAGCCCAAGGTAACACAGATGCAAGGGATGCAAAAAGGTAGAAAAGTGTGTAGCATAATATAATATTATAATATATGGCTATTAGGACAGAGATAATCAGCATAGCAATTCCACAGCCTGCAGAGAAAAGAGAAAAGGGGGAAATTAGATAATATCTGCCTGTAAAATATATCCATGTGTATATAGTGACCAGAAAGCTGTGAGATATAGGCACATGCATAGGTTTAACCATATAATGCAAATTGATTGTTCTCTTAAGATCATTTCATGTCCCTGCCCCCCCCCAATAAACTCAGTTTTCCTTGTATAACAAGTTGTTCAACATGCCATGCAACTCAGTGCTATCTTTTTTTTATCCTGGGGGAAGCGTCACTAAGTTTAACGAGGATTATTCTGAAGGAAAGTGGATCTTAGGCTCTAATGGTTAAATCAAGGACAGGCAACCGTAATCCCTTACCACTAGCTGTGCTGTCTGGGGCTTCTAAGAGCTGAAGCCCAAAACATCTGGCAGGCCAAAATCTTCCTAACCCTACATTAGCTGCCACTTTCAGGTAACAGCAGAACATGTTTCCTTGGAAGGTGGGAAGATGGCACAAAATCCAGAACTCTCACTTAGTTTGGACAGAGGAGTGCTCATCCCACTCATCATCCCATGTTTGAGACCAGTTGATGTTATCCTTTAGGATACCCTATATAAGACTGTTTTATATTATGCAATTTTTTAAAAGCCTGGGGTCAATGTTTCTGAAATGTTCTGTTTTGTTGCTATTTCATTTTGAAACTGTGAAGAAAAGGCCCTTGGTTCCCGAAGTGGACCTTCCACCACCACCCTGTAGATGAGTTTTACTAGGAATTCCAGAATGTCTGTATTCAAGAAAAGCATCTTCAAGGAGCATGAGTTACTCAGCTCTGCAGGGAAGCATTATAAACATGTAGGTGATACAGGAGAAACACTGCAGCTGCAGAATGCTCTCCTGCTGGGAAATGCAGCAAAGAGTCACTAAAGCATAAAAAGCACTGCATTGCTACTCCATCTGTCATTGTAAGGTCATTTCAAGGTCAGTGCAGGACTGCAGAGCCTCACCCACAGAAGAGAAACCCTTCCAGCTCTCTCTTTTAGACTGATGTCAAGCCAGGCTCTTCCCTTCAGACTGCACAGGAAGAAGACACAGCTCACCTTGTAAGGCAGGGATGGCTTTCCAAACAGATACAGGTCCCTGACTAGCAAATTGCCCCAGAGAAACTTCCAAGAAAAATATAGGGACTCCAGCCAGAGCCAACATTGTCAAGTAGGGAATAAGAAATGCACCTAATGGGAAAGGGAGAAGAGAAATCTTAGAGACAGCCTGGGAGGAAACATCCCATCTTCACTTGCTTTGCTATTGATCCTTGTTTTGTTTAGTGCAAAAGTATTACCCAACCCCTGCGATGGTCATCCTGACAAAAACAATACCAACTCTTTTGGGAATTACTGTAATATTTGGGAATTGCTATTAGGAACAGTTCTGTTTCCTTGGCAAAAGACAAGAATATTTTGCCCCAGAAAAGGCTTGTCAATTTGTCCCCATAAAACCCTCACAGACATCTTTTTCAGGCGGATCCTAATCATCCTTATTCGAGGAAAAAGTCCATCTACTTTTAGTGGGATTTAAACGCCTTGCCTCTGGACACGGGGCATGGATTAACGATTCCGAGTTTTTGGCAGCAGCTAAAAAAGAGGGGGTTTTTTCACCCAGATTTTCCCAAATTGGCTTTACTGATCAAGTGCACTGCTGGTCACTCACTCCTGTATCTTGTGATGGGTTTTCTGTCGTATTTTTATATATCCTATGTGTTCGCATGATCGCATACGGTAGGAGATATGTATTCTGGGAGATATGTAAATGGGAATAAATCCATGAACAGCGTAAACAAGGAAGCCTTCTTACACTCCACGGGACTTTGCTTTTCTGACATATTGTAGCTCTCTCAAAAAGGGCCGCCCCTTTTAGGTCGACCCCTCCCGGGCCGCCTTTTCTCCGTGGCTATGAGGGTGGAATCACGGATTTGCTTCTTCGCCGCGTCAAACAAGGGGGCCAGTTTCGAGCGGGAAAAGCTGCCAGCTTTGCAGCAGGTGGTGCAGCTAATTGAATTAGGACCAATCATCCCCTCCATTATCACCTACAACTGCGTCTCGGGGGTTTCCCGGAGTGTGGCGAGAGGGAAATCAGCATTAAAAAAATAAAAAGAAGCAGGCTAAGCTGGAAGCAGCGGAATCTTTTGCTGGGCATTGGCAAGGCTGCTTTTCTTCCAGCATGAGGCGTTCTTGTTATAAACGCGTCCCACAGTCGTTCCTGAGGGCGAGCGGCCTCGATCGAGGGCCCGAACAGGTCGATTAATCGATCCACGATACGGCGCCGTATCAAGCCCAGGCCAGCTGGGATCTTCGCGCCGAGACTGGTGCCAAATTCTGTTTGGCTGAGAATTTCGATGCTGGCATCGAAGCCGGGCGAAATTCTCACTGAATGAGAAGCCTTTTGATTTCCAAACCACTGGCACTGACCCCGGACAGAACAACAACCTCCTAGAAACCGCACCTCCCCTTCTCCCGAATTAGCATCCTTTGGGAAGAAAAATAAGATTTACTTCCAGATAGGGACGCTTCGGGTTAATTACGAATCTAGGGTTTCCATCGGTCATCTTACACAGAGAATATATCCAGAAACCCGGAATTTCGAGAAGGTTTCCAGCTCTAAACCAAATTTAGCACCAGGTTAGACAAACAATAGCAGAGCGGATTCTGTGAAGGCACCTACGAGATTACTGTGAATAACAAACACATCATCCTATGCCCCGTTAACGCAGGCTGGAAACACGGTGTTTTAGAATAACCAGAGTCTCAATGCAAACTTATACGCACGGTGTTTTAGAATAACCAGAGTCTCAAAGCAAACTTATACTGTACATGTCTACTCTGAAGTAAGGCCCACTGCCATTCAGTACAGCTTAGACGCCGAGGTGTAAGAAGTAAGGCCCACTGCCATTCAGTACAGCCGAGGTGAATGTATAGGATTGCAGCTCTGAAGTTGTTCCCCTTGTTGGGAATAAATTGCAGCAAATATTTTCTTCTAAAAGTAGAAGTGATGCCTTTACAGTATTTAGACCACTAAAAATGAAACATTCAGTGTAAGTTTTCGTGAATAAAATTCACTTCCTCTAACATAGGGTAGAAAATTATGAAGAAAAGTCTCAAAATGTCCATGGCAGAAATCTGCCAGGCACACTGCTTGTTTCTTAAGGTGAGTTGAGAGCTGGTTTCAACTACGTACTTCATGGGGCGGATGTTTTTAGATGCCTCATCCCTGGTGCTGTTTGGTTGGAATTTTCCACTCAGTCTCCAGGACAGGAGTTAGTCCTTGAATTAGGCCCCTGCCTGCCCCCCCCCCCAAATATTGCCTGTTCGGAAATCATGATTCTCTCCGCAGATTTTGAGACACCAAATCTTTTAAGGCAAAACTGAACTGATTTCCCTATACACCGAAACAACAATACTATGTCCTCACCCCAAATAACAACAAAAATGACTAAAGGAGAACTGAGGATACTGACCACTGTGCGAATAGAATTAGACAATACGAACAGTGGTTTCGATGGAGACTCCCATAATAAACTGATTAATTACAAAATAAAATGATGCGGAGGCGGCGGGCGGGCAGGAGATGGCCGTTTACACAATGGATTAGGACAGAACCAAAAGTCGCTCCTTTATTAATGAAAACTATCATGTATACGATGGTTTCTGGTGGATTTATAATAAATATACTGCTTTGGAAGGAAAACACCGGGCTTCTGCATGTTTAGTCATAAAAATCAAAGACGAAAATAACGGCAACTATATAATAAACTAGTCGAATTATTTAAAGGAGAATTTCGCTATTGCTGTTTGTGACTATAACAACAAAATACTTTGTTACATTTCCTTCATTTCCGAAGTGGATGAAAATCGTTTTGATTTTGGCATCCTCTACAAAGTTCTCACCTAACGTAAGCTGTCTTTTTTTCCTGGATTTTTACAAGACAGTCCGGCAGGTGCCCGTTAAAAAGAGGGTCAGCATGGATTGATTGCTGATGGTTGCTTTATTTTTATTTTATTTGCGCTGTCTTTCTTCTTCGAAATGATTTCCGTATTTCCCTTGCTCTAATTGACTCTCGTTTTGTTCTCCTTTGTTCCTAGATAGTTTCCCTTAAGAAGAATAAGGACCTGGGAGGTTTGCACGGCATGGTCTACTCCCAAGTAACTGTGTCTACAAGATCATTGCTTCTAACTATCTACTCTTCTCCTGGCTCTGTAGCTTGGGAAGGAAGTGTATTTATTGTCTTGAGACTCATAAATTTCAAGAATGCATAGTTGGCATCTTAATGCTGATTGGTGACGGCCTCGTCCAATCAAAAGACACGCAACTAAATATATTGCGGCAAGCTTGTTATCGTTTTTATTTTTTTATTTTGGGAAAGTGGTGTTGAACTTCTCTGAAAACGTAGAGGGCGTTACGCTAAATTTTGTTCCTAATTTACGTTTCATAGGTAAAATCTCACACTTGCTGTATATTCCGCATCTCTTCTCTTTCTGCAGTCACTAATGCGGATTAGATTGGTCTGTTCACCCATACGAACACGTGGAAGCAGTTCACTAAATCTATTTTTTTCTTTCAAGAGAAGGCTTGCTACCGAGTGTTAATAGGCATGCAGTCATACAAGTGATCTTGACTATGAAAACATCTAGATCAACATTATCATGCGAGTCTATTGAGGATCGTGGATTTATATGTGGTCACGATTTTCTAGAGCAGCGAGGGGAGTGCAATTTGATAGCTGAATACTCTTTCTTCTCATATAATGTCTTCCTCCCCTCCCCACCCCTTCCCTCGAATTTTTTGTTGGAAGCCCGATCCAGAAGCCAAGGGAGGCAAATTTTAGCGGATCAAGCAAAGAGCTCTATTTAAACTGGCTGGTGGATCAGGGCCTTGGGATGTGAATCTCTTTCTGAGGTGCAGCAGGGTGCATGTAAAAAGAGAGGAAAATCCATACCTCCCCCATTCTTAAAGGCCAGGTACGGGAATCTCCAGACATTGCCCAGTCCTACCGCATAACCCACCATGGAGAGGATGAAGTCCAGCTTGCTAGACCAGTTTCCCCGGGCTTTATTTTCGTCCCCTTGGTCATCATCCGTCTGCTGGAGAGAGAGAAGAGCAAACAAGATTTAGGTTGACCTGAAAGCAATAGTTTAGGCATCCTCTAGAGCAGATCCATTGAAGAAATCAGTCTTATTAAGTCAACGGCTGAATCCAACAGTTGAGGTTAGTCCTATAGCAGGAAACCACCGTCTTAGGTCTGTAATGTGTACATTACCGAACGAATTACATCTCATCATTTTGCAAAGGGAAGGGGTAAAGCCAAGGACCTCGATATTTCATTGGCAGTGTTGTGCCTGCGCATGATACCCATTCCCACTCAGACCGCTTACAAAACTTTGAGCCCTGGCTCAAAACGTCGGACGTATTGCGGATCATATTGGAAATACGGCTAGTTTCAGACCGTAAACTCCTGCCTAGCTTTCTAGATGTGAACGTGGAACGTGTAGGGGATTATTTTATTATGTAGTTTTACACGAGCTTTTAATAATGCTCTTATTTGAGTTTTAATAGGACGACTGCTTAATACATTTTAAACAGTGTAATAATTTTTTTAGCATTTAACTGTTTCTTTTAATACTGTAAGCCACCTTGGATCCACAGCGTGCCCAAAAGCTATCACTGAAAGCTAGCTATCTACTTGATTATTTTTTTAGTGGTTCCATGATTGTTGCGGGCGGTTAGATCATACGACCTTTTTCTGAACGATGTCGGCCAACAGTACATTTTATATTTTGTTCAAGTCCCACGTGTAAATATACTCTGAAAGGAGGAGGCACTACAGAGAGGCAAGAGACCCGCGTCTAAGTTGTCCCTTGGCTTGCTTTGGTTGTGCGTAATTAGACAACCAAAGCAAGCCAAGGGACAGCTGAAGAGGTACTGTACTGCCTAATTACGCCGGGTGTGCTGTCCACAGGGCTTTTTAAGCACTGGGCTGGCGCACGTGAATTGTCCCCCTGGCCATTTACCACCCCTGACTTACACACACACCATTAGCTCCAAATGCCATATGGCCAGTTCTCGCTGGATTTTGTGCTTTATGGAGAAGCACTTTAAGAAAGTGGCAAACATGCTGAGGGTTCTGTATTTGCCTATGTGCCATCAAGTCGGAAGGGATTAAGATCGACCTTAATAGGGCTTTCAAGGTGAAATATTTAAGGAGCGGGTTTAACTGTTCTACACGCCCCCAGTGAGTTTCCGTAGCTGCGCAAGGATTTGAACCCAGGCCTCCTGAGTTCTAGTCCCGCCCTTTATCCACGCACGTCACCACTGTGGCTCTCGCACTTTTACACAGGGCCAATAGAGGGAGCTCTTGCGTGAAGACGGAAATGCGCCGTGGACCGTTCTAGTTGCTCAAATATGGATTTACGGTGCTGTGGTGAAGGGCATCCGTCTTTCCCTGTGGCCCTTTCCTCCCTTTCGGGGCCCATTCGTTGCTCTATTTGAAGCTTATGTGTAGCTTCGGCATTAATTTCGGGGGCGCCCAGTTATGCAACCTGGCATCTGCGACTTCCCTTGTTTGATCTGGGGCTATGGATGCCTGGCATCGTTTTCTGTCACTCGCGTTACTTCAGCCCGCTCTGATGGCTTGGCCCACACGAAGGGTAGCGAATCGCTTTGCCTTCTTGTATCAACGGTAGGTGCAGCGATCAGGACCCTGGATGGGAACTTGTGATGTTCTGGTTTCAAAACTCATTGCACAACTTTGGGCCACGCCCCCTTTCTCTCAGGCTGCCCCACCTCACAGGGCTGTTGTGAAGGCAATTGCAGAGTAGAGCGCTGTACCCTGCCTTGAGCCCATCAGAGGGAAGGAGGAGTGGAAGGGAAAGGAAAGGCGATCTTCCTGCAGGATCCGACCGAAGTGCCAGTGAAACCGCCAAAAGCTAAGGGGAGCTGCGAAGGGGATGCAGCTAAAAGGGCGGAGGGGAAGGTTTGGAGGTCTCAGCTGGAGCTTGAAAAATCCCCGTGTAGATCACTACCTTTATATTCTGCCTTTTCCGGTTCTTTCAAGTCTCTGTCCAAATCTCTAACCACTGCCCAACACTACCCCCGTTTTGGGAGCGACGTTGGTGCCCCTCCCTCTGGGATTTGCAAGCGTGCAGCAGGGAACGCCTCCAATCACCTTTCCTTCGACCCGCCAGGGTGAAACACCGTGAGGATGATGCTCCGGTGTCTTTTTCCAGCCGTAGCCAGCCAGCAACCTCTACGGGGAGGGGGAGTTCGACCCTCCCTGCAGGCAGCGCATGGAGCTGGAGGCAAGATCCTGGCACTGAATGGCAGCTTCCTTCTCGGGGATGTTACAGCCGGGTGGAGAGGGAGAGGGGGAGGGAGGGAAGGAAGGAGGTCGCCCGGACGGCATAAGAAGGATCAAAGCCTTCTTCCCCCTTGGCCGGATCCTGCTCCGTCCCTCCCCGCCGGCATTGCCAACGGCAGCAATAACATTGCAATATCAAAACGGGACACCCCACCAGCACGGCGGGACCCATATTCAGGCCTCTTCTTTTCGGCCCTGAAAGGTAAATTCCGCCGCAAAGAAGGACACTGCTTAAAACTGGAGAAAGGATTCAGGCGAGAATGGAGACCCTGTGCCCTCAAAGACAACAGAATTGGGGGGAAATGCGCTGAAACAAAGCCGCCATCGGGGGCTATTCGTTGCAGTTGGCAGGATTTCTCGTTTCAGGCAGGAATAAATGGGAAAGATCCCGCAAGAGCTGAATTTAAAGATCTGCAGCCTTGTTACTTCGCCTCCGTGGCCCACCGTGGAAGCCATGGAGATGAAGATGAAAACAGCGTCTCGCGATCCCCGGTTTAATTCTTGGGAACTGCTAGAATTTATACCAGGTAGTTTCCCTTGCTCAGTGAGATTTAAATCGTATTAAATCCTGGTGTTTATATTTAATTGTCCTGTGTTGCGTATTCTAGGTCTTGGGTCTTTGCGAAAGGCCGGCTGGAGCTGAGGGGCACGTCGGGGCGCCCACCACCACCGCATTCAGGGGCCGTCCTAAGCAATAAGCACTGTTTTCACAAGTGATATTTCCACCAGATTACAGAAGGTTTTTTTTTAAGCCCCGTGGTCCTTGTACAAATTCCCAAAGGAAGGGTGGACAGGAGCTTCAAACCGGTCTGTAATCCTGCGGAAACGTACATTCGAATTCAATTTTAATAGTGACAACAAATGCAAGTAATAACCATGGGAATAATACAAACAAAAACCTATTTCTTGACTGTAGACTTTCTGCCTTCATACAGATATTTTTTTAAAAAAAACCACAGGAGAAAAAACACACTGAGAAGTCTTTCTGCGTCTACATTTGAGAGGCTGAAGGCACCAGTTCTCACCAGTTCTTCAGCGAAGAGTAACAAGGACTTATTGGCTTTAATGAAGACTTTACTAGCGATATCGTTCGGCTTACGTGGCTTTCACCTTGGAGCACAAGAATGCAAGGATGTTCCCCGGTTTTTTGGGGGGGAGGGAGAGGAGGAGAAGGAGGAGCGCATTTTGCGGGCATCACGCACGTGCACACGCTGCTGCAACACGCGTTCACGCTGCACATGTGCTAAACACAGCCTGTGCCTTGAGTCTTAACTACCACGTTCAGTGACATCTAAACAGCTGTGACCAAGTGGAAAGAAAATCCTCGGAACTTGCAACTTGGTTGCGTTAATACAGAACATAAAAGGCACCGTGAACGTCAACAAAAAATTGTGTTGGAATGAGGAGCATTGTTTTAAGTGTTATATTTTGTGTAATTAAAAAAAAACCCTAAAAAGAGAATCTGCGCCTCTGTCTGCATATATTTAAATAAACACAATAAGCCGCCTTGAGCCCTGCTGGAGAGAAAGGCGTGGTACACATAATAAAAATAAAGGGAAAATAAATGAATACATGAAGAACAAGCACGCTCCCACACACAAACCCATGCAAGAATTTAAATTCCCAGATGCCACAGAGCAACCTTGTCCCCTACATTCGCCGCAGGCGCGAACAACTGCTGGGGATTATAAGAACTGTGTTCTCATCCATCTAGAGGGCGGGGGAGAGAGCGCTGCTGGCTATATCCAGGGCGGAAAGAGGTGATGCTGTGGCTAGTTTGCCCGGCTCGTCCATATTGTTTCTCAGGAGGAGCCGCTCAGGGGTTGGCCCGGCAGGGGATCAGGTGCGCCGGTCTTTCCCCCGACGCGCCACCGAGCTCGGCACTTGCTCACTGACCCAGTGTGACGATTGAACTGTCTGAGAGGGAGTGATTGATCGCAGAGCCTTACCCGGTGGGGTTTGGGGAGAAAAGGGCCTCGTACACTTGGCTCTCTGCTTGGGTGGGTTTTGTGGTTATTTTGATTGCCTGGCAAGAAGACTGCCAAAAGGGTCTTCCTTGCCCCCCCCCTTATAGTGATCGGCGATCACAGCCCCTAAGAAAGGGGGCACGTGGAGAAACCACCGCTACAGAGGCATTGGGGAGGAAACGGACGTGGAAAAGGAAAGAAATGGAATTTGCTAGTCTTTTATGGGCTAAATCCCACTGACGATTCCTAACTAGAGAAGACCCAAGGAATGAATGGGACTCATATGAACGTTGTCTGCGGAAATCACATGTCCGTGGGTTTAATCTACCCGGCGCTAGCAGCCGAATTTAGCCCCCTAACAGTCTTTTCTCACAAGCACGTGCCGGAGAAAGAGGGGGGTTAATTAGGTTAATAAGCTGCGCACAGAATGCAGACAAAGCAGCGGCAAGACAGGGAGCCGCGTTCGATTATGACTTGGATTCTCCCGCCTTCTCGGGTTTGTGTGTGTGTGTGTGTGCGTGCGTGTGTTTTTGCTGCCTTATGATTACCCATAAAGCCTGAAGAAGTAACGGATCGTGAGATACACACACACATGTAACAGGACATATATACTGTTAAATGGACAGAAATAAAAACAAAATGTGAGTGCCAACCATCGCCAGAGCATTATCTTAAGAATGTTTGCTCCGAAGTGAGCCCCCAGCGTTACACCGACAGACTTGCTCCCAGGTAAGTGTGCCTTCCAGATATAATGAAATATTTTGGCGCAAGTTAGACCCTCCATTTGATGCCACCAAATTTCCTTCAGGAGCTCTAGTGCTAAATAATGACCTCTTTATCCACTGAAGGAATCTCTTTCCTTTTTTTTTTTAACTTGTGCTTAATTTCCTGAACCGGAAGAGATCTGTTCAGAACCGTGTGTAGTGGTTAGAGCAACGGACTAAGGCGGGATGGTCAGGGAGAGAGGCCGGGTTTCGTCCTCTACTTTTGGCCATAAAGCCCACGGGCGTGATTTCAGGTCAGTCCCTAACTCTGCCCCTAATCTGCCTCACAGGGATCCTGTGAGGACAACACTGGGGACTGGCCTGTCTGCCTTTGGATTCTTTGGAGGAGAAACAGGACCCGAAGATAGGGATCATGATTCTCCCTGGTTTTCATTGGTAGCATCCAGTTCCCCAGCCTGGCGCCTTCCAGAAGGGTTGGGCTACAGCTCCTAGCATCCCCGAACAGCATGGCGACGCTGGGTGGGGATGATGGAAGATGTAGTCCGACCCCTTTGAAGGCCAATATTTTCAAATATTGGCTTTTTCTCCCACCTACTGGTTTTGGAAAGCTCTGTCGCCCTCTCGGGAGTCGATTTTTGCAGCTGAGATCCACCTACCTTCGGACCGGTTGTGCCTTGGATCCGGGTGCGACAGGGGCCTTAGGGAGGGCAGCACGGCGGGGGCGACAACTTACCTCAGTGACCCTGCCACTGCCCGGCAGAACAGAAGTGATCCCGTCGGTGCCCAGCACCACCGTGCTCTGGCTCATGTTGATCCAGGTGCCCTTGGCGTCGTTCTGCTCCAAGGTGCTCTTGCCGAGGCCCGGCGGGGCTGCCTCGTCCGTGCTTTGCAAGGGGGGGATTTTGCAAGGGGCCCGGCGGGCCGGCGCGCCGGGGCCGGCGGCGGGGGCATTCGGGAGCGGAGACGGCTCGGTCACGTCTTTGCCGGAGGGGACGCTGGCTGGCACGGGGCCCAGTTTGCAGACGCCCACTTTGGTCCTCTCGGAGTCGTTGGCTCCGGCTTCCTCGGGGGAGCGCAAAGTTTGGCCGTCGCCGGAGAGGGCGGAGGCCACTTGGGCCAGCTGGGACGGGACTTGGGAGGGCGGGTTCGGCGGCTGCTCGCTCTCGGGGCTATTTCGCATCATTCCTGAACTTTCCAGGGGCCTCGTGGCAACCGTCTCCGGGCTGCGGACCAGCTGTTGGCTCATCTCCTTTTGACCGGGGTAATCCTAAAAGAGCAGAGGCGCATTAAAAAGGAAAGGAGCCCAAAGGGTGGATGGCGGGCAGGGCAGACAACATTAGGATATCTTAGCATTAACGGCGAGCGTGAAGGTCGGACTGCTTAAAGTCACCTGGAAGGCACTGCCGTGGGTTCGGTTTTAAAGATCCCCCTTTTCTTGCCTGGGTTTTGGTACCGTGCAGAGACAACCGCGCTTGCGCCTGCAGATCTACTATTCTGGCGTTAGGGACAGTATCGCTCCCAGCTCTCCTTTTGCAAACCTCCTTGATTTTTTTCATCAAGACCGTAGGATGTTTTTCCCTTCCTCCAGCTCCCTTACAGAAAGAATCTTTAATTTTACGCCTCATTTCCCTCCTGTCATTCAGCAGCGCACTGGGGAGGGGTATTGAGGACTGGCTTTGGACTGGGGAGGGGTATTGAGGAGAGGGGAGCCGGGCTCCCTTCCCTGCAACTAGCGAGAGACAACGGAACTCGATAGTATCGAATCCTTTATTTTCAATAATGTCCCCTCACCCGCCCAATTTTCCATTAAGATCGCAGACATCATTGTCTGTTATAGCAAACGTTGGGAAACGTATTCCCTAATATTCCAATATGCTGCTTCCAATAAACCGGTTTGAATGGGTTGGATTCAGATTCAGTCATACTTAAGAGTTGATCTACCGAAATCAAAGAGACGGGAGTTAGTCAAAGTCCGCCAATTTCCATTAGAACCAGATTCATTTGGTGCAGCGTTTTCTTAGGCTGCAGTCCACTTCCTCAAATGCAAGGGGCTACCTTCTTGGGAACTGGTTTCAATGCTCTCCTTTAAATATGACTTCATGCTACCTATTACCCGTCACAGCGCCCAGCCTTTGTCCACACTCTTCCAGTCTCTTTTATGAGTTTCTTCTCTCTCTCTTTGAGTTTCCGCTGATCCGTCCACTGATTATCATGTTTTAAAAACCCCAAACAAGGCATGGCGTTACAGTGATAGAATCGTATAAAGTTTCTTGGACAGACATCCTGCTCGATTTCAACTGAAAAGGAACAATCTATTTCTGCGAGAAAATGGAAGTGGACAAAAGGAAACCTACACAAGGTATGGTCTGCGCGACTGCTTTTCGAACCCCACTCCTCAGACCTCACAGAATCAGTAAATGCAGCTTGAAGTGAACAGCAGTTTTACCCTTGAGCTGAAAAACTTAACACTTCTGCATGCCCTTTTCCCCTTCTCTGTGCCGCCTTCGTATAAGGGGGAAGGTATTCTAGACTTTCAGGACCCTGGACAGCGCTCTGCGCCTTCCAGACTTCTGCCCCACCCGCATCCTCCGGCGGACCTTTTTCAGCATCAACACACATTTCCCAACCTGAATGTTACCTTTAAGTTCAACATAGGGCAAAGTCGATTGGTTAACGAGTACAATATCTTTTCCCCAACCCGAACCTCCTCAAAAGAGCTAGAAAAGAGAGGGCGGCCCCTCCACTTACCATATCTAAAAGAGCATCGGGTGGAACCTGTGGGGAGGTAAAGAGCCGCAGGAGAGGCCAAACTGGCGGACTGTGTTGAGCTCCGGCGCGAGCAAAGCTTTCTATACCTCCGTGGGAAAGACTGGGTTTGCGTCAGTGCATAGCAAGGTGCCTTTCGGATGGCATTTCCTTGATAATACCGGCTTGATAAATCATTACCCTTGGATTCGGATTTTTAAAGGGGCAAGAAGAAGCCAGCACGCCGGCTCGCTGTCACTCACAGGCAGCAATTGGGATGGCGTGTGACTCGGGGGAGGTGGAAACCAGCGGGGGGGGGCGCACGAGGAGCAGTGGAGAAGATGATGCTCAGGAAGCCAAGCCCAACGAACTTTCTTTACGGTGATCAAGAGAAGCGGGTGGTGGGCGGAGGACATGAGTGGGACACGTCCTATTGCACCCAAATCACAAATACGGGGAGGAAGAGCCCTCCCCGTCCTCTCCCCCCTTTCCTCCCAGCGCCGCGTTACATGCGCGTTTGCTTCGCGGCAGAACATCTGCAGAACATCCCCCTCCTCCCCCAGCGCACATCGCCTCTCCCCCTCCCCATTCCCCACTATCAAGAGACTTGGCTCGACCGCCACCTTTGCGGCGTGGTAAGCATCGGTGTTATGACTCAGTGTCCCTTTATTGTAGGAGCTGGGGGCCCTCCCGACGTCTGTCCACAAAGGGGCCGAGAAACAGAACCGAAATGAACCAGAGCCGCAAAGGAAATGTCGCTTTTCACCGAGGTCATCTTTACTGTATCACCGTGGAAAGAGAGTTTTCCCCTAAGGCATGTTTAAAAGAAAGAAAGAAAGAAAGAAAGAAAGAAAGAAAGAAAGAAAGAAAGAAAGAAAGAAAGAAAGAAAGAAAGAAAGAAGGAAAGAAAGAAAGAAAGAAAGAAAGAAAGAAAGAAAGAAAGAAAGAAAGAAAGAAAGAAAGAAAAGGAACGGCCTCAATCCTCATTGAAGTGAAACCCATCGAAGTCACTAGTACTGACCTATAAATGAGCATCCGTAGGATCACATTAGAATTGAAACATGAAGGTGTCCTAGGGCTTGTTCTGCAGGAAGGAGCTACTGGGAACTCTCTGTCTGAGTAGGAGGCTTCTTGCAACTTGGGGCTTCATATTTAAAATGTTTTCCCCTTAAGCAGGGGTCCTCGATGGAGCCCCATGTCTTGTGGATGTGTAACAAAAAGATTAGGCCGTATAAGTTTCACAGCTTAACCTAAGCTTTTGCTACACAGCAGCAATCAAAGAAAGAAATTGGCTATGTTTTTTTAAAAATATAACCCCTCTATTGTGCAGTCCTGCTGTACACACACAGCTGGTATTACAGCCCTATGAAATCAGTGTGACATCCTCTCAAACAATGGCATGTAGCTGGAATTTTGATGAGATACACCCTTGGCTAATGTACATTCTACAGAAAGAAGACTGTATATGGAGGAACCTGTCAATTTAAGGAACGTGGCATTGATTGCAGTAGAACAGCCAAACCTCTCTTTTTGAAAAATGTGGGATTCCAAAGTGATGATAACTTGGACAAAAACGTGCATGTGCTCCATAGATGATGATGATGTACCATCCAGTTATTTCTAATTTTTTGAAAAATGTGGGATTCCAAAGTGATGACAACTTCGACAAAAACGTGCATGTGTTCCATAGATGATGGTGATGTACCATCCAGTTATTTCTAACTTACAGTGACCCTTTTCAGAGTTTTACTAGGTAGCAAGTACTCAGAAGTGGTTTACGTTCCCTTCTTCTGGGGGCATTCTCTCCCCCCCCCCAAATTGTGAAGCTTGCCTGAGGCTACACAGGCTGACTTTACTCATAGAAACCACAGTGGGGAATCAAACTCCCAATCTTTGGTTCCTCACCCAGAGATCTAAACCAATGAGTTATCCAGCCAGTTCTTCCACATAATACACCACTATTTAATTCTGTGGCCTGCATGTTAAAAATATGAAGTGCACATTGGTGCACTAAGCTTGTTTCTAAGTTAAAGAAAGGAAGGAATATAAAGCCGCAAACTAAAGAGTTAACACTTTAAATAAAGTCTGATCCAGCTTTAGGGAGACTTCATCGGGACCTTCAAGTCTCTTGGCCTGCGAGGACCTTAAAATCCTACTGGAGTGGGAGGCCCTTCTCTTTCCCTGCACTCTAGAAGGCATGTTTGGTGAAGATCCGAGAGAGAGCTTTTTTTGATGGCTGCCATGTCAGAAGGGCTGGGCTGCCTTCTTCCTCACTGAGTCCACCTGCAGGCAGGTTTGCCCCCTCCCCTATTCGGGCAGGCCTTTGGCATCTATGCTGAGTTGACATCACATTCTGTCGCAAACCGTAATAGTGAGCCCCATACCTCAGTTGGGCTCGCCATTAAGAGTGTGTAAAATTACAGACTTATTTGGAAATAAGTCCCACTGAATCTAAAGGGGTCTATTGCTGAATAGCCACATTGAAATCAATTGGTTTTTTTTAATGTGCCTTATCCAATTAATGACCAAGGTTCTAGGTGACCCCAGAACACCAACTGGGAAGAGCAATCTCTTCTGCTCAGTGTCTTCAAGCGCTTCCCTGCAGCAAGGTTAGAGTAATCCCATTAAACAGAAGAACTAAATAAAACAGACAAGCCATCAGTCTCGGTGGCTAGTTTTGTGAGATACAGCCTCACTGGCTGGAGCAGGAGAATTTCATGGGGGGGGGGAGAGAATTTGGTTTACCTTTTTCTTCTTTTGTTAAAAAAGGAATCTTTTCCTCCTCCCCTTTTTTCTTTTTTGCTCCAAAACACCCTTCTAAAACGTTCTGCTTCTAAGCTGGTGATCCTGCTTGGATCAGTGCTTTCTAATCAAAAATGGAAATCTGTATTTCTTTTTTTTAAAAAAAAATTAAAAACAGACATCTTTGCCTCCACTGAAGAATACACATATAATTTAGCCAGGCACACAGAAGAACATTAAAACCAGAAAACGTAATCAATCCAATGGGAGTTTGAACTCACTGAACGAGAAAGAGAGAGGGAGCCCATAATGTTGCAGTATTCCCCTCCTTTCTGGAGGAAGTAAAATACTGAAAGCTGATTTAAGATAGGGCTAATTTTCCAGGCAACGAGATCTCGGCAC